GTCGATGTCGGACGCTCGTTGACAACGTCGACGACTGATGTCCGAGACGCAGTTACATGATTCGCCAATGTTTGCTCCATCACGTAGGGAAGCGCAGGGCGGCCAACGAAGGCGGCGACTGCAGGGGGGGAGCGACGAACGCTCCCTCCAACGTGTGTTCGATGCGAAAGGAACAAAACGAAGAGGCGAACAGCGACATCAGCGACGAGGACGCTCACAACGACCGAGCGACCGCGACGAGTCGGGAACATCGCGGACGAGAAACAGTCAACGCATCTCAAATGCAAATCACCAGTGTTGTGATTACGTGTACGTTGAAGCAGGCCAATTCCCCTGGGGGTGAAGGAAACCAGCGGAGGAGCGGAAGAAAAAGCGTAGGATTATTGTCACGTCAATGCTGTTTTTCCCCTTCCTTCTCCACGGCCGAGGGAAGCAGGGTGGACGTCCCGATAAGGACGCGGCATCGTTCGATGTAGCTCCCTGTCGCAACGGGAACAGGTTGCTCATTTTCCGTCAGAGAGAATTCTGTTCCCAAAACGAGTGCGACGCTTTATGCGGAGCGTACCGCAAAGGCATTTTGTCGAGTCTAACAGCCGGGGAGGGCGAAAGATATTCCGAGGTCCTGGAGAATGGTTGCGAGGGATTCCAAGCGAAGAACGATAGGGCCTTAAAAGGGAGGGGCGTCCAATAGGAGAAATTATCTCTCTACAAAGCGTCACTCTTCTGGAACAGCAGCCGGAAGCGGGAAGTGATGAGGGGAAACAACCGGAGCGGCTAATGTCGGATAGGGCCAATCTGGGCAGTCGATGAAGAACGAGAATGAAATGATTCTTGAAAAGTTCGATTTCCCCGTCATCGCCCTCTCCTTCGACCGTGCGTTGTTCGTGCGAGGAAGCATTAAAATGCAGCAAACCCAGTCAGCGAGGAACTCACGGCGACAGAGCCCGCCAACAATGCGACCCGCCAGCCTCCGAGTCTTAGGCTTCTCCCCGATCCGGTGGGCTGCTTTGCATAGTTATCTTATTAATATAATCACGTCATAAGTTGCTGTATGCCGGGGTACGAAGAAGAAAGATAGATAGACAGTGTTCGCTCGACTCACACGGATTTGAGCCCAGGTTTCCTGCCCCCGCCCCATCCCAGTCCTCGGTGGCCCGAGCATAAGCGTCCCTGCACCGTCTTTGTTCCTGGCGATCCATATCTGTCCATGGGGTTGCATAGCGTAGTCCCGACAAAGTTAGAGGCTAATAGTGGACTCTACCGAACGCTCGACTGCGCCCGGGACGGGGAGAGATGAAATACTTCCGGATGCTGACGGTGTGTATTGTAATTATGATATACTTTTGGAATATTTGGCTAGGTAGGAACTTTTCAGAGTTTTTCCAGCTTCAGGATCTCGATTATCTTCCATGTTTGTCAGCAAGTCTGACCTCAAAAAACTCGCTCCCGGTGGTCTAGGCAGAGATCTGGGACTTGATTTCCAATAGAAGCCTACGGAGTGTCAATGACAGCAGTGAAGCTCTCATCACGTCGTTTTTTCTATGCCCTGACCGATGAACGAATCTTGAATTGAAATGCTCGGAGATTTCTCTTTCAGAACGGAGAGTTCCCCCCACCCCCTCCCGCACCCCATCCACGTTGTGAAGTCCTGCTTTTCGAGACGGAACGGTGAACAGGGGTCCGAATTCAACTTTCGATATCTGCTTTCGTCCGACCGACCGACGGAGCCAGACGCATTTTTAAAAGTCTCGTGACGGCGGTGGCTGCGGCTCGAATTCGATGGTCGGTCGGAGGATCATCAACGACGTTCAACGTTGAGGACCAGCACCGCTAGGGGCGCGAATTCTCTTCAGCTAAAAGTAGGAGCTTGCGTACGAAGTTTAAGTTTGACACTTACTGCAGCTAAAGAATCGGAAACCCGCCCTTCGTTGGCAACTCGGAGCACGTCGCCAAACTGCTGGTGCCGTCCTGTGCATGAAGTTTGCGGATCAAAGAGAGAGGACACTCCCTACTGGCTCCTACCCTCGGACCCTTTTTCTCCTCGCGGGCGGATTAAGTCTCGCCCGGAGCAGCAGCAGGAGTGGCGGCGGCACCACCAGGACCGGTTGGTTGATTTTTAGCTCACCGACTGCCGTTGGTGGTGGAGAAGTGGTCGAGAGCCGGGATCTCGATTCAACGGCAGGCTTTTTTTCGTGCAGGCCCTCGTCTGTGTCGGTACTCTGGTGCACCCTTGTGACTGTCTGACTGACTGACTCACGCAGTGACGAAAAGACGGACGGACTGGCAGACCGAGAGACCGCTGGAAACCGACGCAGCGAGCGGGAGCCCAGGAAACCTCCCGCTGCCGAATACGGCGCCGACGTTTTTCGGCGGAGTTTCTCTTTTATATAGAACCGATTGGCATTGCAGTGGCGCAAGGAAAGATGTCTCCTGTGTGTGGAGGGCGAAAACTGATGTCAAGACGCATCTGTCGTTGCCGCTCCATCTGATCCTCTATTCATTGCACAACTTTGAGAACATAACAGCAGAGAGGTCGCTCGGCTTGTCGACCCGTCGGCGGCGGCGCGGCGTTGCGCACAGCGGTCTGTCTTCGCTGGCGCTTTCCAATTACGAGAGCCACTATAGCGTTTATGAGAAACGAGTTTATACGCTCGCTGTTCCTTTCCTCGAGCGCTCGGAGCAGCTTGTGTCACTCCGCCAAGACTGATCATCTCTGCCGGGCGGATGTACTCGGATTGTATTGAGCGCTTGTGATTCTGACGACTTACTCTCAACAGAACTCGGAACGTCGAGTTCAAAATTTACCATTTCCCCCCACTGTGTGCGTAATTCATTCGACCGACGAAGGTTGGAAGCGGCAGTAGGCGTCCGATCCATCAGTCTCGGTCCGACTCACATGCCGATCGGACCGCGAGACATGGTCAGTTTCTTTTTCCGGTTCCTCTCCCAAATCATCTGCCTGAGCTCCAGCGGGGGCTGTTCCTGCTTTCGGTCCGGATGTCTCTCCCGAGAACGTGTTTTTGTTTTATCATGATTTTTGAGGACGATGATAGCCCAGGGGACATGCTCAGAGGTTCAGGCACGCATCAGTTTTTCGGCGAGTGCGACTCGCCGCGCGCCGGACTGATGCTTCTGATTAAGGTGCCCCGGGCTGCGAAGCCAGAAGATTGTAGATGAGAATTCGACGAGCGAACAAATAGCATGGCTCGGCAATGGGAAAAAAGCGAAGAGGGAACGAAATGGAGACAGGGGAGAAAGAGTGATCTTCGCTCGGCGCCGTGACGCCGGAACATGGAGGCTCGCTGAGGTGTTTCTCGAAAACGCAAGCACGCTCCTTGGAGTTCGCTAGCCGAATTCGTTTTTGGAAGTTTCTACCCACGATTCTGTAGTCAACCAGCAAGCGCAACGGAGCGCTGCCTCCCACGCATCTTTCTCCATCGTGACGGATTCGTCCCCTCAGTTCCGTGCCACTTTGGTGGGACAGAAAGGAAACTGCTGTATCCCGTCTGGGATACGTGGATTTTCGTGCGTGTCCACTGCCCACTTGAATAATTACTCGGAGCAAAACGATACTTCGAGCTAATGACGCTGAAACGCTCGGAGCTCCGCTGACCTCGAGTTGGGCTCCACTATGTTGGAGGTTGATCTCGAAGAATGTGAGGGCTTTTAAAACTCTTGAGCCTTCAAGAGGCCGCCGCGAAAAGATTTCCACGGTGACAGTTGAAAAATGAGATTCGACCACGGAGAGCTTCGCATTCCGCATTAATTAAATTTCACGATTTCTTTGAGCGTCAGGCTGACCCTCCGGTCGAGTGCCAAGCGATGGGGTTTCCAAGCGAGCGGTCGTGTTTGGCTGGAAAGAGCGAGGGAACGAGAATGAATTCGAAAATTGGAGCTGACTTCCTGAAGCGACGGAGGGAAACCGCTCGAACCTCTTTAAGGTTAATGTATTCATCAGGCGCTTTTGTGAGCCGGCCGAAAATTTGCATTTCCTGCCCCCCGCTTCTACGACTTGAGAGCGGTCGTGAACCACGAGTACTCCGGATATAGGCCAAAGAGTAAAAAACTGAGCTGGGAATCTTCCGCGGCTTCCATGCTTTGCACGTACGGCGCTCAGAGATTTAGTGGCTCACGGGCTGAAGTGTTTCCCTTAGCTGAAACTCCGGCCACCTGAGATGTTTTGATAGCGTGAACAGCGGGCGGATTCCGTCTCGCAGGTCGCCTGTGGCGGAACGACGGCCGCCGAGAGGAATCCTGGCAGTTTGTTTCAGGCGAAGCGGAGGCAAAACTTAACGGAAGCACGAGCTCGCAGCCCCTGCTGGAGCTTCACATCAGTGGTAAAAATTCCCAATCCTCTCTGCCTCGACATAGGGAGCTTGATAGCGTCACGTAAAGCTGAAAACGCGGCCTGACCAATGCGCGATGCTCTCCGCTTGTAGTACGACATCCGATCTGGCACACCTTGAATCTGCTGGTGCTGCGAACAACTCTCTTAGTAGTCATGGCCGCAAATCCGGATCCCGCACGGGGACGGCGCGGGAAGCTGACGCTATACGCCGGAAGAAAACCGAGCTGCCAAGATTAATAGGTCCCTGACGCAAGGACGGCAACACAGCTAGAATAGCCGCACGACAGGACTGTTTCGTTGTCGTGTGAAAGAGGACGACAAACCTCGTCCTTCCGCCTCCTTCAGCAGGCCTCTCAATCTAGCTACTCTCTCACGTCAACCTCAGAGACTGAGGGGGGCGGGGGTTGTCTCGCCAAAAGGAAGTGAGGCGGTATCCATTACGTTTTCTTTCGGGCATAGTGACCGAGGACCTTCAATGAATGGAGCGCTCCCGTCTCAACCTCCGTTCGTGGAGCGAATCGCAGAGGAAAAAACGGAGCTCTGTGAAGTGAAGGGTCTGGATTGATTCCGTTTTTGTAGAGAGTGAGATTTATTTGATGCTGATTTTCCTCATTACAGCTGATCGCTGGGATATTTACACGGTGGTCCGAATTTACCAAGCGCGGACGGCGTGGTTGTAGCCGTAGCCGTAGAGTCCATGAGCCCAGGCCCCTGAGGGGGCGTACACGTTGGCGGCGTAGGCGGCGGGAGCTGCGATAGCAGGAGCGGCAATGGCTGCAGGAGCGGCGATGCCAGCGTAGGCAGGAGCGCCGACAGCGATGGGAGCAGCGTGGATCGCACCGTGATTCACCGCGGTAGAGTAGGCAGTGGATTTCGCGACCGCGACGGGGGCGACAGCGTAGGAGGGGAAGGAAGCAGCAATGGGAGCGGCAATGGCGCTAGCGGCAGCGATGGGAGCGGCGGCGATGGCTTGGAAGGAGGAGGAGATAGCCGCAGCGGGGGCAGCAATGGCAGCAGCGGGAGCGGCGATCGCGGAAATCGGAGCGGCAGCAGCGTTGTACGCGGCAGCGGCGGGAAGAGAGGGCGCGGTTCCTTGTTCGTTGGTGGCGATCGAGGCACGGAATCCAGCACCGTCGGCGACGTAGTTCACAGTTCGTTGACGTCCGTCAGCGACGTTGAGGCTGTAAGATCCGACCTTAACTCCTGGAGATCCAGATTCCTGGCGGGAAGATCCTCCGGTCGAGTGCTGCTCGTTGTATCCGAAAGCGTAGTTTCCAAGACCCTGATGAAGAAATCAAATTACAGCGTAAATCCGAGGCACCCGAGCTGATGAGAGCCCGTGAGGGAGAAGGCTCAACGAGAAAACGCTGTCAGACACATTCGTATATTTCTGTGCTGGCGCATGAGCACTCACATCCTCAGAACGGTGCTGAACGGAGTTTCCAGAGGAGAGGAGTACTCCGGCGTTGGCGACGGCGGCGACGGCGGTGAAGACAACGAGGACCTTCATGTTATTTTTCGGGTGTTTGCTCGATCTGAGAGATCTTGCCAGAAGAGAGTACCCGACGGCTTTTATAGCAACGACGATGGACAACCGAAAGTCCGTCCGAAGATCCGCCCCGGCCTTCCAAGGCCACAGAAGAAGAGAACTGGACCCATCAAGTTCATTTTCTCCACTATCGTAGCGAGCGTTGCTTTCTCTCACGCCGCGCCGCTAAGTCTCGAATTTGTTCTCGGGTTCACGGTCGCGAGCCGGAGCACGCTCGGAGAAGAATTTCAGGGTTTTTGATTTTGAAGTCCCGCGTATCACGAACCTCACGAGTAGACAACGATATACATAACGAGGTCCGTCTACGTCGGAGCTGAAACAACGATAGGGAGCTCTCGTGCACGGTAGAAAGAGCGAGCCTCTTCAGGAATTCTTGACTAGCATGATAGGCTTCGATCTGTGGAGAAAATGAGAGGAAAAAATCGAGGTTCAATTCTACGCGTGTCTTTACGAAATGAAGTCCCCGCTGCGTTCGCGCTTGGTTGGCTCCGTGGACTCGCGGTGCATTCCACGTTGATTCGCGGCCTCTCTCGTGCACCTACAGGATGCATATCCATCTCGGTCGTCAGAAACTTGAGATGATGAGACAAGGACCAAGTGAGACCCCTTGAAGTATTCTCTCGCGTTCTGCTGACGTGGGGTTTCAGCGTCCACGTCGGAGTCGGTTCTGAGGAAAGTCCAGAAAATCACCATCCTTTCCGTCGACCGCTCACGAGTTCGGCCTGATTAGTACGATGTCGAAGGAATTGACTCCCGGATTAGCATCGATTTGTTTTTTGAACACTCGTCAGTTATGAATCATATCTGGATCATAATGCATGAGGCTGGAACCGTGAAAGATCGACGACTCCGAGCCGTCTTTCCTGGGAACGCTCGTTACCTCGGAGCAGATTGAGAGAGATGCACCGTTCGGAACCGGCAGATACTCTAACTTCTCGAACAGGCTTCCTAACTTGAGCAACCCAAGAATCAATCGAATCCTGATCGATTCACAGACATCAGTTATTCTTTTTTCGTTTAACATGAGATACAAAGGCCACCAAGGGTCTCGATTCGTGACTTCTTCGCAGCTGAAAGCCATTCCCCCTCTGGGTCCCCTCCTGCGGGTACTCACTGGCCGTCTGCAGCTCCGATCGATTTCATATTCGTGTGAGGCAGAGAGTGAGGGGCGGGGGTCAGTACTCTATGAAGAAGATATATCACCCGCCGCTTATCGCGCGAAAGACTGCATACTCCGAGACTGGGAATAACTATACGCGAGACATCGAACAACGTCCCAATCTAGGGGCCCGAGCATTGCTCAATTCATAGAGCTTCATGTGTATGTGGAAGTGTGCTATAACTTTCACCCTGCATCATAACCTCTGCGCGGTACTAATTCCTTTCACTTTCTACCACTTCTTAATTGTCGGACTGATCCCGATGGCAACATCACTCTATTAGGTTCTTCCGCTGAAAACTGTGGAAAGAGAGTCTTGGCATGACAAATTCTGGTATGAAATTAATAGGAGCAGGCATTGAGCATCTATTCGAGAATGAGTCATTCATTATGAGATCCCACTGCGTAGTGCACGGAGGAATCTATGGAATTCTCGAGGCTTCTGGACCCTCTGTATCCCATTTCGAGTTGGACGTCGAACGGCTCATCTATTCAGGCATTTCTCCATCCAATCATCAAGCAAGACATAGGGACTTGTTTCCGACGTAGCTTGGCCCCGGATTGACCTCATCCGGAATCTGCATAAGCCGCGGATATCGTCGGAAGACTTTTCTGCAGGGCCTTGCGGAGTACACCCGCATCATCGAACATCATAACCGCATTGGCAGCAATAAAGAGAGCGGCTGGTCAATTCTGATCCACCCAGATCAGACCCCGCTACGCAGAAAGTCTCTGCTAGCGAAAAATCGGTTCACTTTGGCGAGTCCTGAGTCAAAGTCATCGTCTCACACTCGGGATGGTTGGACAATTAGTGTCTGAAACCGGAATTTATGATAGAACATCAGAATGTTTCTGACCATATTTCAGAGTCGACGGCGAGAAAGTTTGTGGCGTTTACTCGCTTGTTTAGGGTTGAAGAGCGGCCAACAACACTGTTGGGACCGCTCCAATGGTGGCTAATTATCCCCGAATCTTCTCGGCATCTTCGTCGCTCCGTTGTTGTTTTCGGTCATCCTTTCCCTCGGACTCAAGCAAATTGTTCACGATCCAAAGATACTAAGCACGCCAAGTTTTCTTCGTGTGATTCCGAGACGTTTTTTTGAGAGCACCGGACCGCTGTCGGAGCAACCAGAGAACCAGCGCGGTTTTCACTCCCCTTGAGCTAGGAAGTGAACGTTGATCAGCAGGATGTCCGTCGGGGATGGTCCGTGATCATGCTTCGTCGAGCTAAGCGGCAGAGAAAATCTTTCAATAATTAATTCGTCAAGTCTTTTGTCGCAACTGCAGCAACGATCGCGTGAGTGATCTTCCGAGCCGAAATTCACTCAGTTCGGAAACTATTTAGAATAACTTGAGATGCATATTTCTTGATAATACATATAATACTTTGGAGAGGGGGTCGATGATCCTGGTACGAGCAATCTTCGAGTTTTTCGAGTCTGACTCGCGTATCGATCGACCGATACGTCATACGGCATACACGCATATGACTACTGTGTACGAGAGCAGTATGCGGAAAGGTCGGTGGGGCTTCTTGTCCGCCTGGGCGGTCGTCTCTCGGCGGAAGGCTCCCCCGGAGGCTTGACGGCGTTGGCCGTGGGCGAGGAAGATTTCGATCCCAGGGGCGGGTATCACGAACAGCGAGTGAGTCATTCATGACATCTTTACCCCGACGTGTGCTTGTCTGACGCGGATTAAATCCAAGATCCCCCAAGGAGGAGGTCTCTCCGTCCAGGATAGAATCTCTTCCCGTAAAATGACTTCTGCTCAAAGAGAAAGTCAGCCCGATTGTACGGGAACAATAAAACATGGAGATCGGGGAGCGGTCATTCGAGGCAATGGAAAACGATACACGAAGGAGACTCGGGGAGAGGGTGACAGACGGGGGGCTGAAAAAGCAGGTAAACGGGAGAATGCCAGGGGTGGGGGAATCGAAAACGAGAGAACTCGTGAAAGGAAAAATTGAGACACGGGGAAAAAAACGGCTGCCTGCACCGATCCCCGGAGTCGCAGGTCACCGCGGTGCTCGAAGATAGGGCCAGTCTCCGATAAGATAAAAGCTGTCGAGCGATGTCCAGAAGAAACATTTCTCGGAGGTGTCAAAGATTTTGTGAAGTCAGATCGATCCGGTTGCGATCATGATTATTTATTCGAAACCATACCGACGGTGTCCATGCCAAGCAGTTGACGTAAGGAATTTTGTAAGACTTCTGATATCAAGCATTTTGGCCATTTTTCAAAGAACGCGAGCTTCGCTCTGCCCAGAAAAACTTGCGACACACTCGAGGGATGAATCCATTCCCCGTCCCAATCTCTCTTTCTGGCAAGCTATTCTACAGCTCCCACCTGTCATTGAATATGATTGATTGATTGATGATTTTCAGAGCTGGAGAGAAAGGAGAACCAATGACTGCATGCAATACGTCGAATTGGTCTTATTTTTAATGATCCTCGCTCCGCCGATCGTGAAGCCTTCAGTATATCGTGTTCCGGCTGTCCGATCAATCCCAGGAAGCGAAGCTCTTCGACCGAGTTTTTTCGAGCGGGGCAGTCTGTGCGATTTCCAGTTCAGATCGAGTTCGAGTCTGCTCGAGTGGTAGCCTTGGCTTCCGGGTTCAATGCCCGATTAATTTGAATCAGTCCACCCTGCGAGATGGGACACCCGTGTCTCTTTTATCTATTCCCATGATAATAATTAGATTATCTCGCATCTTCAGAGTAAGAGGAGGAGGCGAAAAGCCTCGTGCCTCCGTCCGCCGGTCAAGCTTGACGCGTGTCAGTCGCGCATGCATTCCCATATTATCTATGTATCGATCACCCTGCCCTCATATGACTAGAGTTGGGAAGGATCCCAAAATTTGACCCCGGCCGAGATGGTCGATAAACGGAAAAATTCTCCTCATTCACCATGCCGTGACACCAGTGAACAAGAGGGGACGCAATTTTCGAAATAGAAGCTACGATTGGCGCAACAATCGGAGCCGCGGTCTCGGCAGGCGAGGCGTATCGATCCGCTCGGACGTCAGAATCGAATTCAGAAATCTCATGAGAAGCAGATTGGGCGCGGGAACTGGAATGCGGAGGAGCGATGCTCTCGGTTGCTTTCTCCGAGTAGAACGAGTCTCGTGGCCCGCTCGCGGTTGAGCGATTGCGGATTCCAACTTTGTCAGCAGAGTTCGTCACGGTGCCATGGCTCCGCCCGGAAACTCGTTGGAGGTAAGGCACATCTCCACCATCCTCCTGTTCTTCTTGCCGTTGGAACGATCCGTCGAGAAAGCGTTTCACGTCGTCATCGAGAGCGGAATTCCTTCGATCCTGTCGGGGAGCATAGATGCAGAATCAGCCAGAATGAGATCAAGAAGATCTTACAGCTCAAAGCCGCTGGGATCGAATATGAATACAGATGTTGCAATGCTCACTCACCTCGACGGATTGCTGAGGAACGGAGTCGCTTGGAGAGAGCACAACAGCAGCACGCGTTTTAGCCGTTATGATGGCCGCCAGAACGATGAAAACCTTCATGCTGTTCGAAGCTTCGGAACAATTCTGTCGCAGTCGAGAACGAAGAGACGCTTTTTAAAAAGCCGGTTCGGGAGGGGACGCTGGCCACGAGCGATTCCAAGGTAAAAGAAGTTTGTACGACACGAAATGACGGACGTGAGAGCTCTCATTCAATTAAGTGGCTCCGGTGAGAAAACTTAGCGGACGGACTTGGCCGAGGTTGGACTGTAAGCGCGAGGTGCATATTTGAGCGCTGAAGTTGAGATCGCCACTTCATCCCTCATTCGACTCAAAATCTCCC